CTGCTATGTTCAAAATATTCTGTACATAAGGTCTTACACCAAGACCTCATATAGCACCAGTAATACTTCTCTATTTCTGCTGTAAATACCTCTCTTAGGAGATATTAGGATCACAACATCCTTTTCCATAGCTGGATCACATTGGTCATCCTGTGATTAACTAAGACATCTGAAGTCTTCCCTCACCCAAGTTACTTCCAAGTAATGACCTCCCAATTTATAGCAGAAATTTCTGATTAGCTCCCAAGCTACCTGGTCTTGCATTTTGAATTTCATCCCATTCTTATTACTCCAGTGTCAAGGTCATCCAGTGCCTCCTGTACTATATTGCAATCCTCCTCTGTATTGACTATACCTCCTAACTTTGTGCCATCATTAAGTTTTATCCACATGGTCCTAGGCGTAACCAGGAAACTCAGCATCTGGGGCAGCAGCAACAATGGGGCAGCAACAGCTCCTGGAGGCTGGTAGCATGGCCAGTCAGAAGTAAGTGTAGATGTTATTTTCTACACCCGCCACATCAGTACCCATAGCTGCCGCTGCTGCTCCAGTCACCCCACCTTAACTGCACTACTGATTTGGGCTAAAGGGTCTTATGAAACTAATTAAACAAGACTGGTCTTTGAGGAATGCCACTAGCAACTTCCACCCAGTCCAGTGCTTCTCTGATCAACACTTGTTATCTCCCCTTTATCCTGTTCCTCGTCCACCCACCAAGTCTTGTATATTAAACCCCATCTTCTCCAGTTTAACAGTAGTTTGCCTTGAGGCATTCTACCAATGACTTTTCCTAGAGTCCAAGTCAACGAAGTGTGGAGTAGGAGCTAATTCTTGTGCAACTTGAATTTTATCTCCACCCCAGAAAATATTTAATAGAAAACATACTCTTCCCCTTGAGGGTCGAATAAATAAGAATAAACCAAGTCTCACAATCTTAACATTTAAATATGCTCTCCAACATTCAAATCAAGGTTCCATCCAATACCAAGGAACACACTGTTTAAAAAAACTGCAAGAATCCATCATAGATCACATGGATTTACCAAACTCATTTCCATTAGAATAACAGCACCATAAGATAAGCAGAGGAATTTACATTCACAGTAGTGGTATAACAGCCAGATGAGAACCGTTCCAAACGCCTATGGAGCTTTAAGTAAGCCCCCATCAACCTATGAGAACTTGTTATAAAATGGAAAAGAAAAAAGGTAGTCAAATAGTCTCATGGATATCTGCACTAATTAGTATTTCCAGGATATCTCAGTATTTCCAACCATTTTGTCATGTTTGATGTTATTTTTCAGGATTTCTTTGCTGAAAGGAAGTCATCTTTCAACTATAAACAAGATCTGATAAAACCAGTGTTTTAAACCTCTTCTGAATTAAAAAATCCTTTCTGAATTTCATTGAAGAGGCACAAAAGGGTATTTCTAACTTACCAAAAATTAATGCCAACCCATGAGAAGTCCCCACAGCAATCAGATTTGATGCTGCCTGAAAAAAAACACAAGGAAAAAAAAAAGCGTTCACATTTTAAAATGCCAAGCTGTCAGAAATCCACCATATAAGCCTTTTCAGCATCTTTATCATGATGGCCAAAGATCAGCAGCAGAGGGAATGTCATTTTAGAAAGCTACAGACCCTACTTCCTGTAGACAAAAAACAGCTATACATGATAGGAAATGCATATCACCCACCCATCCCCAAACTGCTAATCTAATGCAGTAAAATTTTAGATGTGAATGACTGTCATGGTTCACAGTCCTACATTTTCTCCAGCCATTTGAAGTTCAACGCACTCAGAGACCATAAGGAGGACGAAAATGTCACACAGCAGATTCCCTCTTTATGGGTCTGATCCTACCCTTTTAGCCTGGTATTTGAGTGCATCCCCTGCTTTTCCTAACCATGTGAGGATCCCAAACCTTGTAGTGTTGAGTATGCGTTCAGTGAGTCTCAGATTCCCACTGAGAGCTCAATCCAGTTCATAGCAACCATTACAGAAGCTCCCATCAACCTCACTGAGGAACATGAAAGCGCTCTAAGCTTTCCCAAGTTGGGCCATCATTCTGTTCCCAACAAGTCTATGCCACAAAATGCACAGATGCTTTATACAGAATCTGCCCTTGCTATTAATAATTTCTAGGTAAAAAGCAAGAAGACAGTGTCTCGACAAAGCCCTGGCTGGAATGATCTAGTTGGGGATGGTCCTGCTTGGGAGCAGAAGGTTGGACTAAACGTGACCTTCTGGGGTCCCTTCCAACCCTCATTTTCTATGATTCTAGTGCTGGAAAGATGCACCTGGAGTTTGATGAAAAGGAGCAGGAATAATAAGGGGTTTTAAACAAAATTACATTTTGAGTGGCATGGTACAGAGATAGCTTGGGACAAATGCATGTATCCATAAATGAGGTAAATTTTCTGTTTTTTTTTCTGTAAATACTATTCCTAAGGGTGCTTTTTTTCCCTTAAAGAAACTGCCCCTTATCCTTGTCCACTGTAGTTATGTACAGTATGTGCTAACCAAGTTTACTTTGGTTTGCCCCAACCTCATGAAACGTTATGCTTTTAGTCAAAGATTTTACAAAGAAACTAAGCAGGCCAAATACTGCCTGCCCTGAATTGAGTTTCTTTGTTCTTCAGCTATAGCTTGGTTTCCTAAACTGAGGGCTTACATTTCAGTTTTAATAATGTGAGATGCAGGAGTTTTTGTGAGATATCACTTTCAAAAACTCTTGCCTCTCATGCATTTCCTAGACCATCACAATTATAACATCCACTTCAACATTAGTTTTAATAATGATCTTTTATCAGATGAAAGTTGAGGTAGGCTAGGGCTGATCACACCAGCTTTATGGTTGCTATTTTATGTCACAATATCGAACTGCCTTCAGGGCAGCCTGTGATATCTGTGTGGATACTGGATATTAATACTTAAACTGAAACAAAATAATGATAAATTTGACATGGACGTTACTGAGCAGTCGCTTCACTTACAATGGGGAAAAAACATAAGGTTAGTGCCTAAGTGTGGAACCTCCTTCATGACTTGAGAAAGGCAAACAGCACAGATGGGAGGGCCAGGCTGACCTTGTAACAGCAGCATGGGTGAGGAGCGAGGGCAAAACTCCTCCAGAAAGCAGGTTTCCCATGCTGCTCATTCTCCTGCCCTGCATGTTTGGGAATCTGAAGTGTGAAGATGTTCCACCTCCAGGGAGCAGGATGAGAGGTGAAAGTGCTGTGATTCTGGTTTCCACATTGCACTAACACGTAAGAGGGCTGAACTAAGTTTAAAGCGAGAGAGGTAATAAGAGGGAGATTTACTACACTGCAGTTAAAACTCTTGGGGTACTTACTATGGCAGTAGGCAAGCCAGCATCCACTTTGTCCTAAAATTACAAATGAGCCATTATTAATAAAGCAAAATGAGGCAAAATTCAACAGCTCACATCTTCTCCCCTCCACCCATCTCATGCTTTCAAATGCAAGCCTGATTCTTTAAGCCCTCTTACCTGACTATCAATACCATCCCGAGGGGAGCTCCCCCTTTCATGCATCTTAAATGGTTAAGGCAT